TAGCATGGAACAATCAAAAATTATAGATACGTTGGAGACGTATCAGTTGCCAGGCATGCCATCGGATAGAGACATTGAGTTTTTTATTGAGCTTTTGCCAGCACAGGGCCAATATCTAAGAGACCGTACAGGATGCCCGCAAAGGATTTGGAGGAAATTAAGAGGCAGATTAAGGAGTTACTGGATAAAGGCTATATTCGCCCAAGTTCGTCACCTTGGGGCTCACCAGTGCTTCTAGTGGAGAAGAAGGAATAGCAGTAGACCCCACCAAGGTTGTCACTGTGACAAATTGGTAAGCACCCACGTCGGTTGGAGAGATCCGGAGTTTTCTTGGACTCGCGCGATACTACCGGAGGTTCATTGAGAATTTCTCGAAGATTGCAAAACCCATGACGGAGTTGTTGAAGAAGGACACCAAATTCAAATGGACTGAGGAATGTGAGGCCAGCTTCCAGGAGTTGAAGAAACGTTTGGCTACATCACCGGTGTTGATTCTGCCAGATCAACGCAAGGATTATGAAGTATATTGCGACGCTTCTCGTCGAGGACTTGGAGCAGTGCTTATGCAGGAGGGAAGAGTTGTTTCTTATGCCTCACAATAGCTTAAACCCCATGAGTTGAATTATGCTACACATGATTTGGAGTTAGCAGCCGTTGTGCATGTGTTGAAGACATGGAGGCATTTTCTCATCGGAAACCATTGTGAGGTGTACATGGATCACAAGAGTTTGAAGTATATCTTCACGCAGAAGGAGTTAAATCTCGGGCAAAGGAGATGGTTGGAGCTCATTAAGGATTATGATATGAGGTTGCACTATCATCCTGGGAAGGCTAATGTAGTAGCCGATTCGTTGAGCCGCAAAAGCCATGTCAACACCCTCTTGACCAGAGTGTTACCCAAGGAGTTAGCCGAGGATCTTCGCGAGCTATGTTTGGAGATAGTTCCGAGAGGCTACGTAGCAGCATTAGAGATTCAATCTACTTTGATGGATAAGATCAGAGAAGCTCAGAAGACCGACAAGGAGAGTTGCCAAGATAAAGAAGAAGATGAGCACAGGAAAAGCTAAAGGATTTCGTGAGGATGAGCACGATACTATGGTTTGAGGACCACGTATATGTGCCTAATGACCCGGAGATCAGGAAGTTGATTCTGCAGGAGGCCCATGATTCACCGTATTCGATTCACCCAGGAAATACCAAGATGTATCTGGATTTGAAGGACAGTTTCTGGTGGACCGGAATGAAGAAGGATATTGCGGAGTATGTAGCAGTTTGTGATGTATGTCAGAGAGTAAAGGCAGAGCATCAGAAGCCAGCAGGATTGCTACAGCCATTGCCGATACCCGAATGGAAGTGGGATAAGCTAGGCATGGATTTTTATCACAGGATTGCCCAGGACTCGCTCAGGCTATGACTCGATATGGGTTGTAGTCGATCGTTTGATGAAGGTAGCCCATTTCATTCCAATGAAGACCACTTACACCAGTGCTAAGTTGGCAAAGATATATATGACCAGGATCGTATGTCTGCATGGAGTTCCGAGGACCATTGTATCAGACAGAGGAACCCATTTTACCTCGAAGTTCTGGAATCAGTTGCACGAAACTTTGGGTACCAGGCTAGAGTTTAGTACAGCCTTTCATCCACAGACAGATGGACAGACTGAGGAGTTAATCAGATTCTCGAGGACATGTTGAGAGCTTGTGCGCTAGATTATGGATCAAGTTGGGACGACAATTTGCCATATGCAGAGTTTTCTTACAACAACGGTTATCAAGCCAGTTTGAAGATGGCCCCTTTCGAAGCTTTGTATGGAAGGAGGTGCAGGACACCATTGTTGTGGGATGAAGTTGGAGACCGTCAGTTGTTTGGACCAGATTTGATAAAAGAGTCTGAAGAGAAGGTTAAGCTGATTCGCGATAGGCTAAAGGTAGCTCAGTCCAGGCAGAAGAGCTATGCGGATTCTAAACGCAAGGAGACAGTTTACGAAGTCGGGGATAGAGGAAATTGGACTTCGTATTCTTCCTGGGTCTGGCTCGGTTGGATATCTTTGTGTGTTCCCACTTCGAGGAGTTAAGCATTTTGGAGTTAAGGGAAAGTTAGCACCACGTTTTGTGGGACCATACAAGGTTTTGGAGCGTATGGGAGAAGTTGCTTACAAGTTGGAATTGCCCGAAGGATTGTCAGGAGTTCATGATGTGTTCCACGTTTCCTAGTTGAAGTAGTGCCACGCAGAGATGGCCGATATCCCTCTGAGAGATACAGTGCCACTGGAAGCGATTCAGTTAGATAGCGATTTGACCTATGAGGAGAAACTAGTCAAGATTCTCGAGTTTGCCAGCCGAGTCACACGCAGCAAGGTTATCAAGTTCTGCAAAGTTCAGTGGAGCCACCATACCAAGGATGAAGCCACCTGGCAATGAGAGGAAGACCTACGGAAGGACCACCCTCACCTATTCTCTAGCCAACCCGAATCTTGAGTGTGAGATTCATCTTAATGGGGGTAGGTTTGTAACATCCCAAATTTTTAATTTGGAATGTTATACATTAGATCATCATTGCATATCATATTTTATTTGCATTTTGGCTTGATCCTAGAAATTCTACGTAACTCAAGGACCCACGGAGAGAGTTGGGGATTTCGTTATTTTCATAGTTGAGTTTTCTCAAATTTTTGAAAAGAGGATCAATTGATTTTAATTATTTTCTCTTTGTATATTTATTTTATAAAAATAAAAGAGAGGGAATAAAATGACTTTCCCAAAATAAAGAAATATTGGAGATTTGATATTAAAATCAAATAAGATTTTTATTCGGAGTTCTATCGCTATTTTATTTGAATTAGGAAAATATGCGTTTTTCAAAATTGCATTATAGGCCCAAATAAATGTTCACCTTGTCCGCTATATTTTTACAGGATAGGGAAAATTTATTTCACGATTTTTGGAGTACGTTTAGTATTTCTTTTATTTGATTTTCTACGCGGAATTATTTAAAAAAACGAACCGACTCTGGGCCGTAACCGGCCAGGACTCCGCCCAGCCGGCCTCTTATAAGCCGCCACCCCCAAGCCCCCAGCCCACCAGCCCACCCCGCGCCGAAACCCTAACCCTAAGCCGCGCCCGCCGCCGCCGACGATCGCCGCCACCCGCCGCCGCCGGAGCCCCGCCGCCACATAAAGGAAGCGTTCACGCCAATGCCATCAGAGAAAAGAGTCCGACTAACTACATACCACAATTATACCCTGGTATACTGCTCAATGTTTCTTCGTCCGCATCAACTAGGCAAACCCCAAAGTTGGCAGTAATCCAATGATAACTTGCACTGGCGGACTTCCCTTGCACCCTCGGCTCCCTCCCTATAAGTCCAACCATAATCTCACGCCATCCATCAGAATATGTGCTAAAACAAATAGGCTCTCCTTTGATGGGAAGTCCAGTGATCAGAGAAACATCCTGCAAAGTGACCGTCATCTCCCCAGCATAGAAGTGGAAAGTATGTGTCCAGGGCGCCATCGGTCAACGGGCGCCGTGATCGCACAAGGGTTCATCTTCGGCATCGAATGAGACACTAGTGAGATGAAAGGAAGAAGCCCGGTCTTCCGGATATACTCCGTGTATCGCTCGTCATACTCCATCTTGTCATGAACTGAACCGGACCTCAGGTGAAGCTGATCAAAAACCCTTCATTCATCTGCCATGAACCGTCCACGATGCAATTGATCGTACGATGGATGGATAAGAGAAGTCATATGCAAATTACAAATGTATATATTAAGCCCCGTTGTCATTTGCAAATATCCGCACTAGTGCAAAAACATCCATACATGTGCAAAATTTCTACACTAATTCTTCCAAACACCATATATGTGCATATAATTTTCTACAATATCATACACCATATATTTGCAAATATCCATCCATCCGCCTTCCTAATTTTACACTAATTCTTCCATACACCATATATGTGTGTACATATCCTAACCAAATTCATAGCACTTCCATACAAATCCTAAATCATACATATCCTAAGCCATACATATCCTAATTCACACTAATCCCTAACATTATCACACCAAAATCCAATGATAATATCAAGAAAAGGATGAACTAGGGTTTCACCCAAATCAATCAAATGCGAAGATTTCAACCAATAGAAAGAGGAGAAAGGAGGAGAATACCTTCAAGATTTGAAGGACAACCGAATCCACCGATCTTTGGCTCAGATCTGCAGCACTTGAGTGGAGAGATGGAGGGGCGAATTGAGGGGCGCCATGGTGGGGAAAGAACCAGAGAGAGGAGAGAAAGAACAAACAAAAAGGAGAAGGTGCGGGCAGCAATATGTGAAGGAGTATGGCGCCCCGGGCCAGGGCGTCGTGGTACAAACCATGGCGCCCTGGGTCGCGGCATCATGCGCCCAAGGCCAGGCCAACGTGCTAGTCTGCGCTGACGAGTATGGCGGCTTTGACCGGGGCACCCCAGGCCAGGGCGTCGTGGTACAGACCATGGCGCCCTGGGCCGCGGCATCATGCGCCCAAGGCCAGGCCAACGTGCCAGTCAGCGCTGACGAGTACGGCGGCTTTGACCAGGGCGTTATGTAGTCTTGGCGCCCGGGTGTCATGCAGGTAGGGCAATTGTAAAAAAATGAAAAGGGTTCATTTTGTGCTGAACTCTGGCCAAAGGGCCAGTTTTGTAGTTCTTCACGCCAAACGCAGCAAGTTGATGCTAAACAAACAGACACAAGTGCAGTAAAGAAAAGCCTCAATTTACCAACCACAAAATTGTACACCCAGATAAGTAAAAACGACGCAAACCTGCAAGAGCCTCTTTTACTTCCAAGGAATGTATTAAAGCTAGACATCTAGTACAACTACTCAGACGTTAGGATACCACCACTAATCGATTACAAGATTCGACATCAGATAACCAAACTCCAGTTCTGAAGCTACCAAGAAATCACTACAAAAATAGTAAAGGGCAATCGAACAAGGACACAACAGTTCATGGTGAACAAGGGACTGGATCAGCGTCCGTGTGCTGAATGGACGCGTCATCTTCTTTAGCTGTTGCAGCTTCATTCGGGGAAGCTGGTGTTTTCGGTGGCGGCACCGCCACAGCAGCAGCTTTCTTACCATCCTTACCAGAAGACCGGGAACTCTTGCTCTCGTTCTGCTGAGTGCTCATCGAGAGCCTTCTAGCAGGGGACCCGTTGGTCGCGCTGCCGTTGGGCTTTGGACTAGGTACCTTCTTTGCACTGGCCACTCTATAGGGACTGACACGTGTCCCGAACGGCCCTTCACGGTCGATGTTCAGTAACTGCTCAGTGTAGCGCTTTTGTTCCTGGAATGTGAAAAGAACAGAACTATGACAGCTGATTGCAGTTGCAACATTTGATCAAAAGCATGAATAAGCATCACTGCAACATCCTTGTTGGTTTATATGCAAACATCACATATCTTCAACCAAACACAAAGTAATTCAGAATTGTGGCGAACTGACAACTGACAGAGAGAATCAATATGAAAAAGAGGCAGACATAAACTACACATATTGGCTAGCGTGGCAGATTAACTTCTGAAAAACGCAAGCAAGCAACATATTTTAACTTACATAGCATTTAACAGAAAGCGAGAAGAGTATATAACTGGAAGGACACAACTGCATTCAGGTTCAATGTCCAGTTGGCACTAAAATTATTCCAAGAGTACAATAAAGGAAGTAACACTAACCCGCATTTTTCTCTTCTCTTCTTCCTTCTCTTGCCTAAGCATCACATACTCGTCCAACATAGCTAGAAGAGGAATGCCATCATATGTGAAGGGTAGACCATGATTCTCTTCCCAAGAAGTTGTCTTGGCCACCAGAGTTTCAACAAGGCCTAGAAGAATGCTTACATCAGCAAACAGACAGGAAACAAAACAATTCAAGGAAAAAAGCATTAGCCTATTCTGCATTTCCCCGCAAAGCAGCTCTTCTACACTTGACTGGTAGTAAATGCATCAAAAGACGGCATACGATTATTATTCGCTTATGCATCGTTAAAAGCACCTGGAATTTTGTTAACTTGAATACGAGCCTTTTCGGCACGCTTGAGATTTAGGTGTGCACCTCGGCCTGAATTATATCTGTTATCATCCTGCAAAAGGAATTTGCTATAAGAAACAATGTTCCAGACAGGAAGAGAATTTAGCCACACCAGTTCACAGAGAATACAACAAGCACGATAACATGATTTACTAGGAATAGGAACTAGCATACTCGATTATAATCTTCAAGCCAGCTTTCTTCCTCACATGCAGATATCCATCTCTCAACTTTATCTAGAATTTCTTTTCTGCTTAGAGCTTCTTCCTTTGCTTTCAGTATCTGACTATCCATATCAGCAATCAATTCTGTAGGTTCCATGTTCCCTGATTCGATCAGCGCAAATATTTTATCATGCGCAGCTGCTGTGTCTATTACTATGTGAGCACCAGCATAAATGTCTTCTAACATGGTTTGCTTCTTATAAGCTATCTCTTTCATCTTGCTGTATTTGAGCTCATCCAATCTTTGAACCTCGATCTCAGCCTGAATATTGGAGAAGAAGGTTAAACAAGAATACTAGAGGAATAAAATGATGATATTGATTCATCTCACTTGATTAATTATGTCTAGAGCAAGCGCTCCAGGTGCAGTGACTTCCTCAACACTCGCTGTTCTGTTACAGGTAACATGGTCAAACAAGCTTCTTTCTTCCATTGGTGTATCCATGAGATCCCATAGATCATTTAGCTGAGTGGCAAGCTCTTGAAGCTGGAAATGATATTTTGAACATATTAACAAAACTGAACGTAAAAATAGAGTAGTTGTTAGTTGGCAAGCACATAAGTGGTCATATGCCTTACCTTCTTTAGCCTCAGCATTTTGTCCTCATTAAGAGTAGCTATTGTCCTATCAAGTTTTGACAGGGTATCATTGCTAATGCTCTTGTGGTCCTTACCAACAGAGTCGTCTAGACTGTCATGAACTTCAGTTATTATGCTAAAATGTTCCATCTTCAATACAGAACAGAGATCTTGTACTGTACTCACATGTTCAAGTACCTTCTTCAGCCTCTCCCTCTGTAATGTCAAGAAAAATGTATCTTATCTTCTCCATGAAACCAAAGATACGACAATCAATAAGCACTAAACACTACCACAAAGCAAATGAAACAGAGAAATGCATACCTTCTTTTTCTCAAGCTCTTGGAGCTGAGACTGGAAGTCCCGAAGTTTCTCATCTGTCAAGTCATCCTCATTAATTTGTGGTATTGTTACCTGCTGGCCTATCTCGATATTGCCAGCAATCTCACGCCTTATTTGCTCGATTCTTGACATTATATCAGCAAATTTATTTATTCTCTCCTTTTTCTGCTTGCCCAGTTGTTCTAGTGTTGGAGCTAAAGCAGCAAGCTGTTGCTTGATTGTTCGTGCTGTTTTCTCAGGCTGCAAACATAAAGACCTATCAATCTTACACCCTTTTGTAATCATTATGAAAACATGTGAAAGTATCATCTGACATCTGGCATGCAGCAAACCAGTAACTAGTAAGATCCAACTGCTTCTGAGCTGAACTTATGGGGAAGTAGCAACAAGGTAAGCACTGAAAGTAATCTAGCATGGGAGAGCAGAACTACAAGTCCAACAAAGAACACAAAAGGCATTGCTACATCACACTGAGAATGCCAAAAACTCTAGTGGGTCAAGCATGCCTCATTTCTTCAGAGTTACAGTCAGGCTGAATTAGCCTACAATTATTGAAAGCAGACATGTATTTCACTTACACTTGTTGCTATGGATTTCTCTCCAAGGGCAGAAGCGAGCCTGGCTAGCTCCATCTTTGAGTAGTCCAGTGCTTGGAGAAGAAGGTCCCTTGACTTGAGTGCCTGATCAACTTTCCTCTTGTACACATCCAAGCATTCCTGGTCCAGCTGAAACAGAACCTTGTCGCGGTCCTCATCGCTCTCACCAACTTCATCCCATACTAACTGAAAATCCGAAAACAGAAAACAAAGAAGAAATGTCACCTTACCCTCAAATCAGATGCCAAATGAAAGAATCGGCTTTTTTATGTCATTATAAAGTAACGAGCAGTCTGAGCATGTACCTGCAGTTTTTGTAGCAATGATACACATGAGGTTTGGCCGTGCAAAGCGTCCATTCCAGAATAGAAGGATCCTTTCGTTGAGGGCTCAAGGATATATGATTGTAGAGAAGTCTAGCTTATGGTTACGGCGATGATGAAATGTGCTTCTGAACTTCCCAACGCCAATGCTTAATCGAACGGCACCTGCCGGTTGAGCATTCGAATCAGTCAGAAAGAAATAGATGGTGAAACTAAGACACACATGGGCATACCAGCTAGTACTACCGAACTTAACATGCCCACCCTAAATTGGCAGGCATTCCGTTAAATGTTAATTACTTTACTTCAACAAGACAACAACTAATGGCCCAAGCAAAACTGTACCACGTAATAAATAACTGCCACACAGCAAGCAAAACAGGCAGTATACATTTGGGAGTCTCAACAGCCAATGTCGGTCCAAAACCTAAAGGATCCACCCGCGCAATGCGGCCGGAGACCGAGAAGGAGCGGCGTCGAGAACATCGCGACGGACCGAATCACGTAGGTCGCACAAATCCAAAACCGCAAACATGGCAGAGATTTTCACCAGTTCCACTACTGGAAGCGCTTCCTAAAACCACCGGGAACACCGGGCAATCTGAACCAGGGGAGAGAAACAGAAGCACTCCGCCGCTGCGGCGACTGCATCTCCCAGGCCGAGACCGTCCCCCCCTGGATCCCACATTCGCGCGAAACTCTCCGCTCACCCACGCTAAGCGTCGCCTCGCCAGATCTCAGCCTGAACAGTGGAGAGAGGCTTACCAAATACCAGATCGCGCGAAGGAGAAAGCAGGCGGCGGGCGAGGGCGAGGGGGAGTCGGGGAGGGGGCGGGGAGCTGGCCGTCGCTGAGCGGCGCTCGGGGAGGGGAATGGCGGAGGAGGGGGAGGGGGCGGTGGTCGGTGGTCGGTGGCGGCACTGCTGTGTTGCAGCGCCTGCTGGTGTGGCAGTGTTGGCTGTGGGGTGTGGCCGTAGTGGAGTTGGTGTGTGGGATCGGCGCGACGTGGCGGTCGACGAAGCGGTCACCGGACGGTGCGGCCCGGGCCAAGGAGGAGGATGCAGCGGTCGCCGCTTGACTCGCTGACCAGATAACACGACTGAAATCAGATTTGTTTAAAAAAACAAATAAGGATTTGGGACTGTGGATTGGCAGAGTTTAGACTATGGGGTCGTGAAATCTAAAGAACATCCGTATCACGTTAAATAATTCAAGAAGGTAAATTTATTACCTCCATTTCAAATTACTTGTTTTAGATGTATTTAGGTACAGATGTACGTATCTATCTAGACACGGGGGCGAGGGAGTACGAAATTCCTACTCTATCAAGTTGCATTTGGTAAGTGGGTATATGCCTGTGGTGAGTTGAAAGCACAACCTCAGAGCAACTCTATAACAGGTGATATATAATAGTCTTGGTAAGTATATGTTTGGGCCAAGTGATCTCCATCAAACAGTTGTAAGAGCAACTTCAACCGGACGACCGAACAGACGCGCGGTTTGCCCGTTTGGGTCGGCCAGACGGACGAGCGCGTCCGCTTTTTATATGAGTCAGCTGATGCGCCCAACGAAAGGCCGACCCAAATTTGCGCGCGTATAAAAAAAAGAAAATGACAAACACATGCGACAAATAACCATAATAGGAACTTAATTAACCATAAGTGGTTCGTCAACCGTTGGCAAAAGTCCACTTAAAACATGATTAAACATTAATAAAAACTAAGAAAGTCGGCGCGCGCACGCACCTTGCCCTTACCGTCGTCATCGCCGCCGGTGAGGTCGATGAAGACGGGAGGCGGCCTAGCCCAGCCGAAGGCGGCTGCCTCCTCCAGCGTGTGCTGCGGCGGAGGCAATGCGGCGACAGGGACGCACTCCTCCTCCTCCTTCTGCCGCTCCCTCTACATGCGCTGCTCACCGCTCGCGCGCTCCTCCGCCAGCCTCCGCTACCGCCAGTGCTCTATATACATGGCCTCCTACGCCAGCGTGGCACCAAGGCCAAACGCGGGGGGGGGGAGGGATGACCCAGTCCCGCAGCTAGCCGGTCCACGCGTACCACTCGCTCGGCTCGAGCGCAGGCGTCGTGTGGGTTAGCGGTGGCGGTAGCACGCAGTTGCCGCCCGCAGAGAGGGCCATGGCCTTCACCAGCGCCGCTTGGTAGGCGACCTCGTCCGCTTCGGCCTTCAGCCGTTCCTCCTCGATGGAGTTGGTGAAGGCCTCCGTCGGCGCCGCCTGGTAGGCAGCCTCGTTGTCCTCCTCCTCCGGCTTGACGACGGGGGAAGGCGGGGGGTTGACATGGTGGTGTTGCACGCCGAGCCGCCTTTGCTCCTCGTGCTCGAGGGCAAACCAGACCTCCCAATGGGGAGAGTCTGCGGCGTACTCGGGCATGCGCCGCTGCTCCGACGTGAGCTGCGCCCGACGCCTGCGCACCTCCTCGTCGTGCACCCGTTGTGTCCGCGGACCCGGCGGCACCGGGATCCGTTGCGGATCGAGGTGCCAGTGGTGCGGCAGCATCACGTCGAGGTGCGACAACAGCTGCTTGAACTCTCAGTGCCATCGCGCTTGGTGCATCGCAATGTGCAAACGCTGGCGAGTGGGGCGGGCAGGAGCCGGTGGCGGAGGAGGAGTAGGCGTCAGGGTTGAACTTCCCCTTGCCCTTGCCGGAGCCACTGTCGAACAACCCCATGTCTAGGGTTTCGGTTGTCGCCGACGAGGAAGCACGAGGGGGCTGGTGGGAGTCCGGGGGTGGACGGAAGTGGATGAGCCCCCCCGGCATGCGTGGATTAGAAAAGAACGTTTTCACTGGCTGACGCATGGGCCGGTGTCGGTGGTCGCCATAAATATGACCGCGTTCGGTCGTTGGCCGGCCGCCAAGTGTGAGCGCGGCAGACAACGAGGGAGTGTGTGGCGCGTCCGCACCAACGCATTTCAGACGTAAATTTAGGTCGAAATGAATCCGCGCGGACGCAAAGCAGGCGTGTTTTGAAAATGGGTCGGCGTGTTGGGTCAACGTTCTTGTCCGCGGTGACCTAAGTGAACGTGGGCGGACGAAATGGGTCGCCCGTTTGGAGTTGCTTAAGGGCGTTCGATGGGAGTTTCTTCCCGGCGTACGACCTAAATGCAGCGACCTTTGACAAACTGAGAGCCTACAACCTACCGTTCTCATGGCTAGAGTACTGGACTGATTGTTCGAGACAGGCAGACAGCCCCCTTTAGGCCTTGTACTGATGGGGAACGTAGCAGAAATTCAAAATTTTCTACGCAACACCAAGATCAATCTATGGAGTAATCTAGCAACGAGGGAAAGGGGAGTGCATCTACATACCCTTGTAGATCGCTCAGCGGAAGCGTTCAAGTGAACGGGGTTGATGGAGTCGTACTCGTCGTGATCCAAATCACCGATGATCCTAGTGCCGAACGGACGGCACCTCCGCGTTCAACACACATGCAGCCCGGTGACGTCTCCCATGACTTGATCCAGCAAGGAGAGAGGGAGAGGTTGGGGAAGACTCCATCCAGCAGCAGCACGACGGCGTGGTGGTGGTGGAGGAGCGTGGCAATCCTGCAGAGCTTCGTCAAGCACCGCGGGAGAGGAGGAGGAAGAGAGGTAGGGCTGCGCCAGGGAGAGGATTAACTCGCGTGTTTGCAACCCCCAATACCTCAAGTATATATAGGGGAAGGGGAGGGGCTGCACCCCCATCTAGGGTTCCCTCCCTAGGGGTCGCGGCAGCCCCAAAAGCCATCTAGGGTGGCGGCCAAGGGGGGGGGAAAGGGGGAAACTTGCCCCCCAAGTAAGGTGGAGGCGCCCCCTCCCCAAACCCTAGGCGCCTTGGGCCCTGGTGGGGAGGGGGCGCGCCAGCCCACCTGGGGCTGGTCCCCTCCCATACTTGGCCCATGCTGCCCTCTGGGGCCGGTGGCCCCACTTGGTGGACCCCCGGGACCCTCCCGGTGGTCCCGGTACATTACCAATAGCACCCGAAACTTTTTCGGTGACCAAAACAGGACTTCCCATATATAAATCTTTACCTCCGGACCATTCCAGAACTCCTCGTGACGTCCGAGATCTCATCCAGGACTCCGAACAACATTCGGTAACCATGTACATCTATTCCCTATAACCCTAGCGTCACCGAACCTTAAGTGTGTAGACCCTGCGGGTTCGGGAGACACGTAGACATGACCAAGACAACTCTCCGGCCAATAACCAACAACGGGATCTGGATACCCATGTTGGCTCCCACATGTTCCACGATGATCTCATCGGATGAACCACGATGTCGAGGATTCAATCAATCCCGTATTCAATTCCCTTTGTCTAGCGGTATAGTACTTGCCCTAGATTCGATCGTCGGTATCCCGATACCTTGTTCAATCTCGTTACCGGCAAGTCTCTTTACTTGTTTCGTAACACATCATCCCATGATCAACCCCTTGGTCACATTGTGCACATTATGATGATGTCCTACCGAGTGGGCCCAGAGATACCTCTCCGTCACACGGAGTGACAAATCCCAGTCTCGATTCGTGCCAACCCAACAGACACTTTCGAAGATACATGTAGTGAACCTTTATAACCACCAAGTTACGTTGTGACATTTGGTACACCCAAAGCATTCCTACGGTATCCGGGAGTTGCACAATCTCATGGTCTAAGGAAATGATACTTGACATTAGAAAAGCTTTAGCATACGAACTACACGATCTTTGTGCTAGGCTTAGGATTGGGTCTTGTCCATCACATCATTCTCCTAATGATGTGATCCCGTTATCAACGACATCCAATGTCCATGGTCAGGAAACCGTAACCATCTATTGATCAACGAGCTAGTCAACTAGAGGCTTACTAGGGACATGGTGTTGTCTATGTATCCACACATGTATCTGAGTTTCCTATCAATACAATTATAGCATGGATAATAAACGATTATCACGAACAAGGAAATATAATAATAACTAATTTATTATTGCCTCTAGGGCATATTTCCAACAGTCTCCCACTTGCACTAGAGTCAATAATCTAGTTCACATCACCATGTGATT